CCCGGCCGGCCAATTTAAACCCCTCGACACGCAAGGAGCACCGCAACCCCAAATAGCCCACCTTTTTGAGGACATACAGATACCCAGCGGATAGGCCTCCAACTGGAGTTTAGGAGAGATTTTCTTACCCAAACGCTACTGGATCTTCTTCGCAAGGTTGATGGCGAACTAGGGCAGTGCTTGCAACCCCGCGAATCATCTTTATCCTCAGCATCATCCTGAAGCCGCACAGAACTGCAGCAACAACACCAATAACAACTGAAGGTTGAAAGCCATGATCAGACCTTCGAAATAGGAGAACAGCGACACGTAGCTCTGCAACCAAAGCGGCCGTGTACCCCGAGCCCGAAGCCACTTTCATATTTATGAGGCACGTGCGCATGAGCACAACATCCAAGAGTGCCAACCTCAGCTTCGAAAATGCCGCAGGCCGTTTAGAATGTTGATCACGGCTTTTGTACTTGGACTTACGTAGGATTGCGTAGGGGGGCTATGCTTCATAGCTCAGATAGGGAATTTATTGGGGGCGCACTTTTGCTTACATACAGACGGATCGTATGTAAGCGAGTACTTGAACTAATCCCAGAAGTAGCTGACTAATTTTCCAAGTACCTTTCGGCACAGGCCGTATGATGTTGAATAAACTATTTTTAGGCTATACCAGAGGGTAGTTGGGGGGAGTCCCCTAGCAAACTGGACACGAAGCTTGAACAGCGCAACAGTAGTGTTGTTCTGTGTTGTCGGTTTGTTGTTTTTGTTGGGGGCTTAGAGTTCAGGAGAAGTCGTGCGGGGTTGGTGAGATTTAGGTGCTAACATACACGACTTTGGGGTCCGTAGGTTTTAGGATTTCAGTGTTGAGGGGCTGCTGAGTTCAGAGGCTTGGTGCTTCTGTTGATGATATAAATCCTGCATTACCTATAATTTGAAACGCTGCGCGTCGTCCGCCTCGGCCCGGCTGTACGCGCATGCGGCGAGTGGCTACTATCTACAGCAAGCTCTTGTAGGGAAAAAGTAACAGTTGGAATCGCACTTATAGTAAAAGTAATGTTCATAGCGACACGAAGCAGGATGATTGTGAGTAGTATTAGTAGTGGTAGTATCAGTACGAATTTCGGTGTCGTCATTCCGAAACACTGGATACCAAGACTCTCGCAAACGGCGGGATGCCTTAAGTATGGGCCGTTGAGGCTGTGGATTTCGTGGGCGTCTTGGATTAGGGAAGCATCACAGCCTTTTCAACCACGTTACTCCGCCTATCCCAACGAAAGGGCGATTCGATACCAACATAGGGGCCCAAACAATGATTCAGACCCTGCTGGGTTTTTTTTGGTACTGCAGCCTTACAGGCGAGCCCCAATTTTTCAGGCTGGAAGGGGGGGGGATGGGGGGAGGGGGGGGGAGGAGGGGGGGGGGCGGGCGAGGGGGGGCAGGGACCGCCGTACCTTGCAGACACGTTTCCATTTTTAAGGGGGGGCGGGGGCAGTGGCGCAGATTTTTGGTGTGGGGAGGGGATTAAGAGGTGGGGAATAGAGGGAATCCGAATAGGAACCTCTGACCGCTTCGGCCGGGGCCGAGGCGAATAAGGAATATACCATGAATCCCATAGTTTAGGGTCCTTATTAGGGTAATGTTCTATTGCAGGGGGGGCTGGCGAGCACTGCGACCTCGGGATGTAGATATTTTTGGACTTCGGACGTATCGGTTTAGGGTTTAGGGGTTAGGGTTTATAGGGTTTAGGGTTTAGGGCTTAGGCTTAGGGCTTGAGGGCTTTAGGGTTTAGCGGCTTAGGGGTTTAGGGGTTTAGGGTTTATAGGGTTTATAGGGTTTATAGGGTTTAGGGTTTTAGGGTTTAGGGTTTAGGGTTTGGGGTTTTAGGGGTTTAGGGCTTTAGGGTTTAGGCTTTAGGGGTTTAGGGGTTTAGGGGTTTAGGGTTTATAGGATTTATGGGGTTTATAGGGTTTAGGGGTTAGGGGTTTAGGGTTTTAGGGTTTAGGGTTTAGGGTTTAGGGTTTTAGGGGTTTAGGGCTTTAGGGTTTAGGGGTTTGGGGTTCAGGGTTTCGGAAAGGTTGAACTCTCTTTCGGTGTCGGAGCTTCGCCATCGAGATCGTAAGAGCTCCACGCTACCAACTTGGGTTACGGGTAATAACTTAGGGACATGCGGGGAGTAGGGTTGCGGACGCCACTGCTGCCGTCAGGCTTCGCCTAAAGCCCGCAGCCAGAAACACCCCAAATCTCTGACCTGACAGTCTGCATGTGGTGCACTGATGTCTTGCTCACGTTCAAGCAGAGTCCTAATACAAGGCCCTAGAGCCGCAGCCCTGACCCGTTTATTGTTGCCAACCCTCTAGCCCCAAGAACCGTAGGCCCTAAATCCAACTGGGAGTTTCCAAAATCTAGGGATACCTCATTTTGGGGGTCCTCGTCATAACGTCGTAATAAGGATCCTACCATTTAGGGTGCTATATTACGGTCCCCTATTCTCGGAAACTCCCAACTCCCCAAAAAGACTAGGATCGAACCCTGCATAAGCAAACACACGCATGGAAACCCACGCAGCCCACGAAGGGAAAGATATCCCTGCAACAGGCTTATGCCCTATGCTTATTCCCTGAACCCGAATCCGTAAATCCTAAACCCCTAAACCCGACTCCCTAAAATCGAAAGCTTAAATCTTGCACCCGGCTTAATCTCTAAACCTTCGACAAGCAAACGGAGCCCCAACCCTAAACCCCACGATCTTCTATCGATTCTTGGGAGCCCTAACCCCTCAACTATCCTAAATTCCTTCTAAACCCTAAACCATCCTAAACCCCTAAACCCTAAACCATCCTTCGCTCCTACACGCCCGAAAAACCCCTAAACCCCTAAACCCTAAGCCCAACAGATGGGAGCGACGAGCCGAGGTACGCCCAGGAGAACCAGTACCGCAAGGTGCATCCTGTGAAGCACCTCGCCGAGGAGGAGGCCCTCATCTCTTGGGTTTAGGGATTTTGGGATTTTAGGGATTTTGGGATTTTAGGGATTTTAGGGTTTAGGGTTTAGGGTTTAGGGATTTTAGGGTTTAGGGTTTAGGGATTTTAGGGTATACTTGGAGGTTCATGGGTATAAGAGTGGGGTTATAAGTCACCTAATAACCTAATTTGGGTTATACGTATACTTGCCCTACTTATGACCCCACTTATAACTACCCATGAACCTGCAAGTAGATCTCCCTGGGTTTAGGGCTTTAGGGGTAGAGGGGTTTGGGCTTTAGGGTGCAGGGCTCGCAGCTCCCAAGCCTCCCTGCATTCCTTTTCGATAGTTCTGGGCTTTGCTTGGAGGTTCATGGGTAGTTATCTATATGTATATTTCTGGAGAGTGTAACACATTAGGGGCCCTTATTTTGTGGACATACAGAATACATACTTGTATGTATACCTATATATATATATATATATATATGTATGTGTATGTGTATATGTATATGTATATGTATATGTATATGTATATGTATATGTATATGTATGTATGTATGTATGTATGTATACATGTACGTATGCGCGTTTATTTGCTTTTTGTATGTGAATATATATGCTGTTTTGAATGGCGATACCCCGTAAAACTGTGATGCCAACCGTCCCTCGAGGCAGACGTCTCTCGCTGGGCTTTCCCATCGAATGCCGACTGAAGAGGATGGCGAAGCTAGGACCTGCGGGGCTGGCCAGGAAGCCGAGAAGGCTAATCTAGGGTTTGGGGTTTTAGAGTTTAGAGTTTAGGGTTTAGGGTTTTAGGGTTTCAGAGTTTAGGGTTTAGGGTTTAGGGTTTTAGGGTTTAGGGTTTAGGGTTTTAGGGTTTGGGGTTTAGGGTTTTAGGGTTTTAGGGTTTAGGGTTTAGGGGTTTAGTGTTTATAGGGGCCTAGATCATTGCCAAAGCTGTTTTGGGGGTTCCTTTACAGCGGTCTATATTAGATAACGTCTTTCACTATTTTTTTTTTGGGGGGGGGGTCCCTGTTTAGAAGTATAGTTAGTAGGTGGGCCCCAAAACCGTATTCTAATTCTTAAGGCCCTGCATGATGGGGGCCCAAGCAATAAGACCCTGTTTAGAGCCATATTGAACTCCAAGTCCTGCTTCTCCCATCAAAAGCCCTTGAAGGCCTATAGGATCCTTTCTCTCGGATATCCAGATGGAGCTTTTGAGACTTACCTGGCATCGTTGTACAGGGGTTGGAAAAGAGGGAGAGGCTTCAAAGAGGTTTGATGGGTGTAGAGGGTGAACTCTTCTGGCCTCCTCCCCCAACAAAGAGGTCATCAGAACGCAGCGAAGTACAATAACCAACACCTTATTGCAGACCCTTGATGAGCCAACTCCCCCTTTGATATCAGGATAGTCCTTAGCATTACCTAGCCCCTTAACCGTCCTAAGCCGTAATCCTGGAGCCCGAATCCCTGAACCCTTGAACCCTAAGGCCCTAAGCCATGAACTTCAAGAGCCATAGAAGCCTTAACCCGAAGCCCCTAAACCTTAAGCTTCAAGAGCCGGTAATCCTTCGCGCCCGGGCCGAAGTCTGACCTGCTCCGAGAGTGTGCAGACAAAGAGCTTGAAACTATGGTCGGAGCTGAGAAAAGGACTTCCGGGCGGCAGGGTTTAGGGCTACGGGGTTTTGTGGGGCTTTGCAGGGATTTTAGCGTTTGGGGCTGAGGATGTGTTGAAGGGGTCGTATAGGGTGTTTTTAAGTGGAGACTGTAACGGAGACGGAGGAGCGAAGGTACATCTGCCATGTACGACAGTGTTGGTTGAGTACCCATTGTTTCATCATGTTTCTTCTGCTGTTGCTGTTGCTGTTGCTGTTGCTGTTGCTGCTGCTGCTGCTGCTGCCACTCTGCTTCTGCTACTGCTAAGGATACGGCCACGTCTACTGCTACTGCAAATGCCACTGCTGCTACAGCATGTCATCGATGTCTCGATGTGGTCGCCTTGCGAGATACTTGGCACAAGGAGGCCAGATACGTCTTAGCTCGGCCATGGGCGACTATCGCTACGACTACGATGGCCAGACAGAGGAGGCCTGGGTTTCGTATTGGCTTCGGAGGTTTAGGGTTTACCTAGACCTACTAAACCCTACTTTTTTGTAGATTCTTACTATAGCCTCTAATTTGGGATTTTTAGGGACCCTATAAAAGTAGGTTCCAGTAGGTTGAGGTAGGGTTTAGGGTTTACATAGGGGCTTTGAAGCTTCTGCTTCTGCCTCGGCTGCGGTCCCCTTCACAAGACTGCAGGAAGGTGATCCTTGGTTCTCTTGGCTGCATAAAGGGAACTCCAGAAAGTTGGAATATGGATTAATGGTAGGATCCCCTATAATTTACCTTAAAGGGGTTACGATAATGATATTCCAACTTTCTGGCTTCACTGTAGCAGAAGCAGCAGTACTAGCAGTGGTATCACCGACAGCACCACGGCCAGCAACAACAACAACAACAACGACACTCTCGACGCCGGCACAACCCCTGGTGGCGGCAGAGGACGACGACGAACAATGAACCTGAACGTTTTCAACACCGACATATTAATCTGCGAAAGACTGCATTCCAGCCCAAGTATGACCAGTCTGGCAGAAACAGCAAGAGCTCCTAATTCCCGCACAATAAGAGCAGAAACTACCACTACAGCTGCTCCTGCTTAGTTTTTTTGTTTTTTTAATTTTGTTTTTGTTTTTTTTGTGGTTTTGGGGGTTTAGGGTGTAGGGCTGCAGCTGCTGCAGTAGTGGCAGCAGGAACGATAGCAGAACTTACTCCCAAAGGCTCCATGTACCTTTATAGTAGATACTTAAGCCTCATAGAGGTAGCACTTGAAGGCCTAAGTACCTACTAGATGGGTACATGGAGCCTTAGGGACTGCAGCGGGAGGTGACCACGATCTTCTGCGCCAACTTCCCGGCAGATGCCACGCACAGGCCGGGATGAACCCTACACCCTAAACAGCCGAAAAAAAACAGCCGAAGCAGGGCGAAGATGCTTGAAGGTTCACCAGTAGTTACAAGCACGGCGGGAGTTTTTGTTTCTACTCACTAGCCGAGCAAAAGGTATGCAAGGAGGTACGCGCGCGGGGACTACAGACGGTCACAGTTTCTTTTCAAACCCTTAACCCTCCAAGCCCTAAATCCGAAGCAAACATAATTTTTTAAGAAAAAATATAAACGGCTGAACCCCAAAATCTGAGCTAGCCGAGGTGGAAAGGAGGGCTGGCAATTTCAGGGGTTTGGGAGTTGAGTTTCAAAGGTTTTGAGCTTAGGATCGTAGTGTGACAGCTGATGTTGCGTGTATATGGGGGGTTTCCGAAAACAGGGGGTACCTTATTTTGGGGTCCTTATAATCAGGATCCTACTATTTAGGGTCCTATATCAGGATCCCCTATTTTCGGAAACTCCCATATTGAGGGCTTTGTTGAGACCCTCATTATTGCAAATTTAAGCTTAGGATTTGGGAGATGAGGGTCTCGGAATTAGGCTTCCGAGATCAGGCCGCGAGGATCGAGGTGTAGGGATTCGGCTTTAGAAGGCTTCAGGGTTTAGGGTTTAGTTGAGTTTTTGGGTTTAGGGTTTACGATTTAAGGGTTTAGGGTTCACGGTTTACGATTTAGGGTTTATAGGGGTTATTGTTGCAGGGTACAGAGATTAATAGTATCCTGTGAAAGAAGACTGCATGTATATACCGTGGCGCGTGACGTGACATCGGGTTCCGTTGTTGCGGGACCCCCAGAGCCAGTAAGCCAAAAAAGGCAGGTCTGGAAATGTGGAGCTGCCTCCATTTTGTGATCGCTTGGGTGCCCTAACAAACCCTTCAGCGACAGATATAGCCTAAACCTGAAATCCTAAACCCTGTAGGTTTGCTTGCTTACGCTTTTTTGGGGACTCCAGAGACTCCAGAGTATCCTGGGTGCAGGGAGCTCGACAACCTGTGCCGCTTCCTGCCTGGCTTCCTCCGGTGCAAGGCGGCATGATATTCAGAAGTCCGGGAGGTTAGGCTGCAGGGCTTGAGGTTTAAAGACGAATTTAGGGGGTCCGATGGTTATCATTCATCACAGTGTGTCTTGTTCGAATGGTACTGAGGCAGCAGCTGCCTCTGTCGATGCTGTTGTTGTGTTGACATTCCTGATTTATGATTTGTTGATGGTGGTGGAGGTGGTCGTGGTGGTCGCAGTGGTCGTGGTGGTCGTGGTTGTCGTGGTGGTTGTGATGATCTTGACGGTGGTGGTGGTGGTGGTGGTGGTGGTGGTGGTGGTGGTGGTGGTGGTGGTGGTGGTGGTGGTGGTGGTGGTGTGTGGTGGTGGTGGTGGTGGTGGTGGTGGTGGTGGTGGTGGTGGTGGTGGTGGTGGTGGTGGTGGTGGTGGTGGTGGTGGTGGTGGGTGGCGGTGGCGGTGGCGGTGGCGGTGGCGGTGGCGGTGGCGGTGGCGGTGGCGGTGGCGGTGGTGGTGGTGGTGGTGGTGGTGGTGGTGGCGGCGGCGGTGGTGGTGGTGGTGGCGGCGGTGGGGCTGTCGCTGTCGCGGGGCGGCGGCGGTGGTTGTGGTGGCTGTGTCTATAGTAGAGCGTCGTAGTGACAGTATGATTATGATTAGTCGTAGTAGCAGCAGAAGAAGTTGTTGTTGCTGGTGCTGGAGCTGGTGCTCGTGCTGCTTCTCATACTCGTGCTGGTTCTGATACTCGTGCTGGTGCTTGCTGGTGCTGTTGTTGCTGTTGCTGTTCTTGTTGCTGTTGCTATTGCCGGTGTTGCTGTAGCTGTTGCTGTTGTTGGTGGTGTCGGTGTTGGTGCTGTTGTTGGTGTTGTCGGTGTTGGTGGTGTTGTTGATGATGTTGTTGGTGGTGTTGTTGTTGTTGTCGTTGTGGGAGTCGTTGTAGTTGTCGTCGTCGTTGTTGTTGCTGTTGCTGTTGTTATTGTTGTTGCTGGTGCTGCTGTTTCTGCTGTTGCTGTTGTTGCTGTCATGCTGTTGCGGATGTTGCTGTTGCTGTCGCTAGCGCTGGTGATGGTGCTGCTGGTGCATAGCTTGTGGGTTGCCGTGGTGTCCTGTGGGGGGTCATGCCACAATCGCAGAGTCCTAGTATTTCGGTAGGTAACCTGTAACTGTTGTTTTGAGGGGGGGTACTGTAACTCCAATCTTACTCCCAAAACTAACCTCTTACTGTTCGCCAGGATACTGCACAAGTAGGGAGTGCTCTCGCTGGTTCTCGATTGACTGTTTTTACCTGTGAACCCTCAACTCACAGCAAGCTCTGGAGGCCACCTTCGGGAGAGGTGTCACGCTCTTTGCGCTCTTCGATTCGGTACCTGCTGCACAGGCACAGCCGGCTTCCTCAAAACGGGGCTGGACCTTTTCTTATCATCATCCTTGTTAATTGCTATTCGTCATTCTATGCATCAGTAGTATCTCCGTACTTCGAGCCCTTGCACAGCTATACTGCGATGCTTTGCTTGCAGCGTTTCAGAGATGCCGGCCGTTCGAGTTGAAAGCGGTTGACGTGGATGCAATATATAGGGCCTAAGTTATACCAGTAGTCCTTCACCGTCCCTGTATATTATGTACTACAACGGAAAGACTAAAAAGGCTTCTGTATTATGCTCGACCCCGGCTGAGTGACCTGTGATTTTGGCTTGGTGAAAATTGTTGGACACTCGACATGGGTCCACATACCTTGATCTGCCTTCACAAATAAAGAAACTTGAACAGCTGTGTATGCGGCCCAACATCAGAGGGAGAGAATGAGAAAAAGGAGGAGATACGGCGAGATCGCGAGGGACAGAGACGGGAAAAGAGAGAGAGAGAGAGAGAGAGAGAGAAAGAGAGAAGGATCTATGTGTGACTGTGTAGGTTTAGTTTCGCTTGGAGTTGTTGCCAAGCAGGCTCCCGTGTGAGAAAGGCTTCAGTTTGCGGTTTAAGAAGATCTGGTACAGACATGCACGCGGGTGATATGTGTGTGTGTGTAAAGTGAGCTTTTTGACTGACAGGCTTACGCTGTAAGACCTGAATCTCCAGGCTGCCATCGATGTCTTGAACGACCAGGCTCCCGGCATGCTGACGAGTTGAGATCTGCATGACGCTCAATGAGAAACAGCGATCCCTGCTGGGGATCCTTATAATACTGCAGATCATGCCCTTCATGCGACTCCGAAAGCTGGCTTTGTGGCGGTTATACTAAAGATCGTCATGAGAGCTGCGCTTGGTCTTTCGACCCTGTGCTTCATGAGAATTAGTCCTTGGAGGTTCATGGGTAGTTATAAGTGGGGCTAGAAGTCCCCTATCATGGGCTATAAGTATAGTTACCCTACGTAGCCCCACTTATAACTACCCATGAACTTCCAAGTAGTAGTCCTTCGTAAGGGGTCAACAAACTACCGTCAAAGCAGTGTTAGATACCTGGGTTGCCTTTTTCGGGGTCCCTTTCTGGGTACCCTAAATATTAGGTGCCGCATTATATGAAGGACCCCAAAAGGGACCATAATTTTGACAACCACCCAATTAGTAGTCCTCCGTAAGGGTTCAACAAACTACCGTCAAAGCAGTGTTAGATACCTGGCTCCTTTCGTACTTCTGGAAGCTCCGCATCGGCGAGATCTCATGTCCTGCGTACTTCAGTCTCAATGCCAGACGAAGGTATCCATGATGACTATGTGGTACTTTTGGGCAGTAGCGCGCTGAACACCTGCATCCTACACGCCGAACCTGCAGAAGTCTAGACACCAGGGCCGGCCCAACACCTGACAACCCGAACTATGCAAAACCTTGAACCCTATATTCCCTGAGCCTAAGACACGGAAGTCTAAGTTCAAAGCCGTTACGTAACTACTTAATAGCTGCTGGGGCTTTGGAGGCCTTCGATCGTAGCCGACCTCAGCAAGACACCCTCCGGGTAGCAACTTGGCAGTGGACGTCGTAGCGGAATGAGAAGGGTTTGGCGTTTAGGGGTTTCGGTTTTACCGTAAACCCTACACAAACCCACTGACACTGTGTATTCCTCGGGTTTGCCAAGACCTCTCCGAGGCACCTCGTCGGATTATGTAGACCTTTATCTGATATCTCTCTTCAAGCCTTTGGGTTTCAAGGTGAAGGGTTTAGGGGTTTCCGGCACAGAATTACCCAAATACCCTTAACGTCGGAGGTTGTAAGGCCCTATGGTTCTCAGTAGCTTTGTCTTTCATGCGAGTGCCAGCAGATTGGCTTTTGGACGTATAGAAAAATATATAGCTTTAGAAGTTTAGTGCTTTTCGTGAAGTTTACCAGGGTTCAGAAGCTACAGAGGCCCATGTGTGGGGCTTTGTGCATGCCGTGTCTCAGAATGTTGCTCAACGGCATTGGGCTATGCGGTTTAGGGTTTAGGGCTGCTGTTGCCAGTAGTATTGCCATGACGAGGTGCAAGATGTCGTCATCATTGCTTGTATCTGAGTGCATGCGTCCTCTCGTCATTCCGAGTGCTATGTTATTTCTGAGCAGGGGCTTGAAAGAGCAACAGTACTATCGCTTCGGGGGTTTATGCGAATATTCAGCCTCTAACACCCTTCCAAAAGCCCTATAACTCCTCCTGAATTAAAAGCCCTATAGTAGAAGCCAGAAAGTTGGAACATGAGAATCCTCATGCCCTTAAAGCATAAGGGATTCCAGCACTAATCCTCCTAAACCCATGTTCCAACTTTCTGGGATCCGCCATAACCCTCAACCCTGTGGCGAAAGGGGCTCTTTTGGTGCTTTCGTAGTTCTCTTCGGGAGCCCATTGAGTCGGTATAGAGTCCCGAGTTTTGGACTCAGGGCTTTAGGGGTTAGGGGTTAGGGGTTAGGGTTTAGGGTTTGGGGTTTAGGGTTTAGGGTGTAAGCTGATATCCAGGAAATCCAGCTTTCGGCGTTCAGAACTCAACAACGGCATCCGTCTGACTTCTGCAGACCTCAAAGTCTTCAGCGCGATAAAATCAAATTCGCAGTATCCTCGGAGCGCACAAGCCCCTCCCTAGACCCTAGAACGAGATTGGCGTTGGCTGCTATTCTGCGACGGATAAGTGGAGTCTCTTCCGAAGCCTGAAAGAGTATTCCCACTTTGCGCAGCAGGACGGAACCACGCTCGTGGATATTGCTTTCATGTCTGTCAGTATGACGGTGGCGCGGATCATGCAACTCGAGTCGTTTGTCCACTAGGCTGGACAACTCATGCACGGCAGCGAAGAATCTGTTTTGATAGACAAAGACAAGCACGGTGTCCGAAGTTTGGGAAATCAGATAGACTTCGGTCGCCGCTGAACAGACATGAGTTGCTCTACTAAGAAATCAAGGTGATCCTAAAACAGGTGCTAAAGTTTGGTGTCTGGGTATGGCCCCAAAGCAGTCACGGCCCAAAGCCCTGACTTCCTCCATTCCATGCCCAGAACCTAAACCTAAACTTAGTTAAGCTTATTGATCTCCTCCCCAGCCCATGCCCGAAACCCCTGGAGCCTTAAATCCTGGGTCTGAAGAGCAAGTAGGAACAGACCTCCAAAAGTCCCCTGGCCACCCCCCCCGGCAACTTACTACAATTTTGGTTCAAGATTTCGAAGTAGCCCTGAACACCATAATCTAATGCTGAAGGCTCCGTTGAACCCTCTAACCCTAAACCCTCAACCCTAAACCCTAACCCCTAAACCCTCAACCCTAAACCCTAAACCCTAAACCCCTAAAACCCTAAACCCTAAACCCCTAAGGTCATGGCGAAGAGCAACATGCGCGGCTCCGAGCCCGACCGAGGGGGCTGGCAAAGCCAAGGAGAGCCTCTGCTTGGGGGGTTAGGGTTTAGGGTTTAGGGTTTAGGGTTTAGGGGTTTAGGGTTTAGGGTTTAGGGGTTTAGGGGTTTAGGGTTTAGGGTTTAGGGTTTAGGGGTTTAGGGTTTAGGGTTTAGGGGTTTAGGGTTTAGGGTTTAGGGGTTTAGGGGTTTAGGGTTTAGGGTCGGGTTCGAGTTTAGGGAGGAAGTTCGGAAGTTTCGGCGGTTCCGGGTTGGAGCCCTCCGCCCTCCAGCCCCGCACCGCAAGATCACTCCGAACTCCTCTTCTTTCAAGAATACCTGTATTGTTGGTAATAATTTCAAAGGTAAGCCCCCAAAATAAAGGCAGAAGCCTAGGAAGCAAGTAGTTACTAGTTCCCTTGTAGAGAGCCTATACCCCTTACCAAGGCCTTTGCCCGTATAGAAGCCATATGCCTTCCTATAAGATAGGGGCCTAAATGGTTACCTACACTATTTTCTGGCGGTTCCTTATTATAATTGTAGTATAATGGCCCCAAAGCCCTATTTTAATTATTAAGGCCCCTATAGTAAGCCCTAAACCACAGACACTAAGCCCTAACCCCAAGCCGTGGTTCAACCCACAGGCACCTCAGAGCTTTAAGGGAAAGCTTGGAATGGAGAGGGGTTCTCCCGCATGTGTCGAGGGTTTTGCGCTTACTGCCCTGTTAAAGGCTTTGGATTTTTGAAATTGTGGGCTGATCGTTTTGATTATTATTGGGGGTAGTTCTCTAAATTAGGGTCCCTTCTAGGGTCCTGTTTAAGAGAGTGCCCCGGACTACTTTGGGGACCTGGAAAAAGACCCGAATTTAGAATTCTACCAATGTCTCTACCGAAACCTATTTTGTTCCGGGCTTACCACACACAATGTTGTCGGTGAATCCCGAAAGCCACAAGCCGGTTTAGGGGTTTAGAGGTTTAGAGCCCAAGAACCAAGAGACTCCAATATCCCGTAATTAGGATCCTACTATAACTTAAGGTATATTCCTTAATTAAGGGATACTGGAGTCTCTGGGAACCCTGGCATGAACCCAGAACCCTGAAACCCGAATGCCACAAAGCCGAGGCCAAAAAAGGGGGTTTTAGCCTCTGGGGGTTTAGTAGGGATTAGGGCTCCCATAATAGGACTCATATTAATTCCTACCCCAAGAATCTTAAACCCCCCCCCTTTTGGCCTCACATCACGAGACTCGGAAAGGCAAGCTCCAAGAAGCGTCTTGGACACCGAAGGCGCCGCCGCAGCGACCCAGCTCGCTCCCCGAGGGGACGTAAGAGGATCTGGGAGTTTCCGAAATTTCGGTGTACCTTCTTTGGGGGTTCCTTAACATGAGGATCCTACTTTGTATTTGGGGTACTATCTTAGGGTCCCCTATTTTCGGAAACTGTCACGAGTGGTGTCCTTCAGGCTTCCAAATCTCAGCGTCCGAATCGCTAAACTAAACTGCGAACCCCTAAATCCTAAATTCCCTGAACCTCCAGGCCTACCAACTCCGAGGCCCTATGCCCCGACGCCCGAATCATTCAGAAACCTAAACCCTGAACCTTGAAACGCCAACAAAAATTTGAAATCCTAGGCCCTAAAACCCGAAGCCCTTTTGTTTGGCTAACTTCAATCGGGGTGCGATCCTCTCTTCTTTGTGCAAGCCCAAATTGGGCAGGGAGTCGGCAGAGTGAAAGTCCCAATGCACCCTTAAAAAAAAGTAAAGCTACTTGGAGGTTCATGGGGAGTTATAAGTGGGGTTATAAGTAGGGTAACTATACTTATGACCCATATTAGGGGACTTATAGCCCCACTTATAACTACCCATGAACCTCCAAGTAGTCCCGCTTCTCAGACCTGGCAGGCCCTTCCACAGCTCTTCACAAAATACCGAAAGCTTTCGCGGGGTATCCTAGGAGTTTAGGGTTTGGTTCAGGGTTTAGGTGTAGGGTTTAATCCAAGGAGTTTATAGGGGTTTTTAGGGCTTGATCCTGAAACCTTGCACCCAGATGCACCGACTGGAAGCCGAACGCCTGAAAGCATCAAGGTCTTAAGCCTGTAAGATGTAGTAGCATCCTTCTACTGTTTTGGGGTTTAGGGTTTAGGGGTTTTAGTGTTTAGGGTTTGGGTTTCAGGCGTATGGGAGTTTCCGAAGACAGGGGCACCTTATTTTGTGGTCCTTATAATAAGGATCCTAGTATTTAGGGTGCTAGATAAGGGTCCCCCATTTTCAGAAACTCCTTTATGGTTAGACGATAATCTACCAAAAACCCTGAGTCTAAATATCAGGGCCCATGTAGTAACATAGGCCTCATGGAAACCTCATACATCCTTGTCAGACCCTGGTTGACTCTCATGATGACATACACCAAAACCTAAACCCTATGCCCTAAAGCCCTACAGTAAACCCCATAAAGTTGGAAACCGGATTAAGGCCAAATAGTGCTGGGATTCCCTATACATTACTCTTATTGGTGGAGGCTATTGGGTTTCCAACTTTTCGGCTTCTACTCTAGACCCTAAGCCCTTAAAGCACCACCCACACACATACTGCACCTAGCACGGGAAAGTCGAGGCTATTCCGCGCCCAGAGGCCGGCAGCGCTTGAGAGGGCGGTTCTTGTTTTGCATGTGGGGTGAATATAGAGTTCCCCTTTCTGCAGCGGTTTATGCGATAAAGGATTTGTAAGGGTACTATAATATATAGGGGCCTAAATTAACTACGAGCACTCTTTTGGGGGGGTGCCTTATGATAATTATAGTATAGTGAGCCCCCTAATCATCAAGGCCCCAACATTAGGGGCTTGGCGTAAGTCGGATTTTGCGGTGCACTGCGCTCCTTACTACCTTCCCCTACAGGGTTTTGTTTTTTCGGGTGTCGTTTTACGGGCTTCTGTCCGGGCTTGGGGTTTCCGGTGGCGGGTTTAGGATTTAGTTTTCCCTTCCGGAAACCAACATGGAACAAACATTGCACAGACTACGGTACTGCTAGACTCAATTTGCAACCGTTGACCGCCAATGCCCAATCAAGACCCCAAACCATGTGCACAAAATCCTCTACGAAGGCAGCTCTTAAGCCAATCCACCTGAGACCACGCAGTGCCCTCCACACATCCGACATGCGCTGAACCCTGAGAAGCTAAACAAGCCCTCACCGCATGAAGAACCCATACACAAAACAACCCTTAACAGGAGGACAAAAACAAAATCAACTAGTCTGTAATGTATGACCTGTCAGTCCCATTCAGTCATGCTCGAAGAAAGACTCGAAACCCCGGAGTCCAGACACACAAAGCACGCAAGCGTATAAGGAGAGAGGCAGAAGACAAGACTAGAGTGATCACCCCACACCATCGAAAACTCAATCTCAAGAAGTCGCGTAGTATCTGCGGTATGGCCAGAGAGCCCAAGGAAGCTCTGAATCCTCAGCCCTTCAGCCGGTGTGTGTAACTGTATCTCACTCGTCGCAGTATACGGCGTTTGGTACTTGGGGGAGGGGGGGCGGGGTAGGATTTAGGGATAGTTACAGTTGTTAGTCAGTGCCGCATGTCATTGTGACCAGAAGCTGCCAGCAGACTAGCACAAGGTTTTTTTCTATGCTACTGGTTGATGTCAGGTGAGATAATACTCAACGACTAAGTATCCCAAAGGGTCCAAGTATCATTGTGGTATATACTTATAGGGTATTTGTGGGTCTAAGTATATACCAAAATGATACTTGGACCCTTCGGGTATTCACAATGCCACTCCTCAGGGCTCTGTCGTACAACAGCCCCTCGACGCAAGCAAAATGAATCTTCAGATGAATCTCGCAAACTCCACGGGAATAATGTACAATAGGGGCCTACATATCACCAATACTTCTATGGGGATAACTCTTGTCCTTAAATTTTTAAATAGAGAAACCCCGTAACCCTCTTCTAAGTAATAATGCCCCTACTTATAGTATCCATTATAGCAATCCTTATCATAAGGTGCCCTTGTGTAGGAACTCTATCCTAAGCATGAAGGTCCCTACATCAGATTCCTTTCCTTATAGAACCCTTATAGATCCCTTTAAGGAACCCTTAAAAGGGCACCCTATTCCCTACCTTAGGCCCTTAACATCCACCGAACCATAGACTTCCTTCTGAGCAGCGGCGTCCTCAAGCAGGCCTTGCCATCCCCCAATAAGCCAAAAAGGGTTGCAAAGGTATATAAGTTATAAGGATTATAGGAGTTATAAGGGTTATAAGGGTTGTAAGGGTTATAGGGGTTATACGGGTTGCAAGGGTTATAATGGTTATAAGGGCTGGGGGTTACATGGTGTAGATTTAGGGTTGCGGGGTTTTGGTTCTAGGGTGCAGGGTGTATAGTTTATGGTTGAGGGGTTCAGGGCGGAGGGTTTAAACGCCAAGCCCTAAACCCAAAACAATACGTCACAGTTTTTGGAGCCACATCCGACTGCTCATGTCGTGAAAGGTGCAGTTGGTGGACACGCAGATACCAGGCCAAGTGTAGCGGTTCTTTAGGCTTTTGCATGTTTAAAGAGTTTCCATAGTTTTATGTGGGTTTCAGGAAACGTTTTGTCGGCGTTGTTATATACGGAGCCATTACAGGGTCCTGTTATTGTTGAAATGAGATTTTGGTATGGGCTGTATATGATTAAACAGCTTTCGTGTAGAAGTGGGAAGAACCAAGACATACAATCTGCATAGGCTCTAATAAACTCGAATATAGGGGCCTTAGTAATTACCTATACCATTTTGGGGGTTCCTTACTATAAGTATAGTACAATGGACCCCAAAAACTAATTATTAAGGCCCCTGGCTCCTAACAGCTCTACAGAGCAGCCCGAATGGGGAAACGAGCTTCCAGTGCATTGCACGCGAAAAGAGCAAAGGCTGCCGAGTAGTTCTAACTGAAGGGTGAAACCTTTAACCATACAAAACCTCAGCTGCAAATCCTGAGCCGTCGACCCTTTCTACCATTGAATCCGAATCGTGAAAATCCTGCTGTGCATGACCACCGCGCCCAACCCCTTGCCCTTAACCTCACCTGCACCCAGAGCTCTACTCCATGAAAGCTGTTTAAGGAAATCATAATCAGGTGCCCGACAAAGGTGGGTTTCTAATATGGTGTCCCCTCAAAGGGGACATCACACACATTGAACAAATCTGAGGCACGAAATGTTGGAGAAAGAACTCCACAACCCGTTTAGGTTGCAGGTTTCAGGTTTAAGGGTTTGGGATTCAGAGTTTAGGGTCTGGTTTTGAGCGAAGCCTATGTAGAAGTCACACATCAAAACGTTGAAGAAAGCTCTTATGCTAAGCCTGTACAAAAGTCAGATAACCCTAAACCCTAATCCCTAAACCCCTACAGCCCTAAACCGCAAACCCGTTAGAGAAGCCCAAGCAAGCCCTCGCGCGGCTTTCGTAGGTACCAGGCCACTCCCGCACGAGGAGGCTATTGGAAAGAGGCTCGAAAGTATGAGTTGGGGGTTTAGACTTTTCGATTGTTACTGTTGATGATATATATCCTGCATTACCCTAAGGACCCTAAACTATGGTAATTATGGTTTATTCCTAATTTTGGGTAATGCAGGGTTTATATCATCAACCGTAGTACACATTATTTCGTCATGGTTCCCCTTATGGTCCCTTCTATAGCTTGTCTGTTTAATGCGCATGTCCCCTTGTAGCAGAATATACTCTTAGTTGTTTAGGCCCCTGTATTCGGGCGGGGTCATGGGAGTTGGTTCATGCTATGCTTTGGGACTGGAAGCCTCAAAGATCGAGCCCTAAGCTTGATGCCGAGATGATTTTGGGGCATCTTTTAGCGGTCTAGAGCTATAGGCTATAGCGCTGTAAAGGTGACCATGCGGGTGCCGAGGGTGAAGGAACGGAATTCAAGGTTGGGTCCTAGAGTGCGGGGATGTCGGTTGCAGGTGTTGAGAGGCTGGTGGGGTTACCTTCTTCGCACCTACCTTTGACGCATATGTAAGATTCGAAAACTCAAACCTCTAAGCCCCACACCACCTCCTTCCTTGTGACATGAGGATACTCAGTTGCTTTGACTTGCTTGCAGAGTTGAGCATGGGAAAACGGAGTTCAAAAAGCAAGCCACACCTATCCCGAAACCCGACACTGAGCTCAAACCAACTGCACCAAACCCCGAACCCCAATCCTTTAAACCCTGATCACCTCAACGAATTGGGTTTGAGTTTAGGGCACCGGTGCGATTTCCCGGATACTCCTATCGGCAGCTGCAGCAGCAGTGACAGCATCATCAGCCGCGACCACCACAACAGCCGCCATCGTGTCATCATCACAGCAGCAGCAGTCGCAACAAGCCCAAGGTGACCGATTAATGCCCAGTTGCCGATCCACTACAACATAGCACAGTAAATTCACCAGGAATGCGATCAAAGGAGAGTATACATTAAAGTAGCGGCTGTAGAGATCGTATCGTTTTAGAGCGCCGGCTGCGAGAGCTCTTGGCATCGATTGCTACATGCGTACAGTGAGCTCGAATCATGAGCATCGCCGCAGACAATCTGGGATCGGGCAGTCCTCAACCACGAAAAGCTGCATGCTCTTGCCTGCACAATGCTTAGCAGCAAGGCGTCCTACGACACGGCGCCCATGAAGCGAGCTGCACCGAAAGGAGGCAACGTCATTGGAGCAGGCGCGGTATCGGGTAGTTTGAAATCTGCGTCTTTGTATTTGACATTAGTGATTCGTGTCCGTACTTCTTCGCTTTAGTCAACATTGGCTTCGCCTGCTACTATGTTCTCAGACACTAGAGGCCAACATGATGAAGCTGGAGCCAAACTAGCGCTGACTGTCGGCTTAAGAACTGTATGTACTCCTCCAAAACCAGCTGTAGCAGATCAAACAAGATGTCATGTGGTGGCTGAGCATTCAGTTTCTGCAATCTGTGCGATACACTAGACCACGGGTTCAGCATACATGTCATCACACCATGCATTGGACCGGTGAGTTGACCACATGCCCCAGTATTGTAACCACATTCGCTGCTTCTGCCGCTACTACGACGACGGCTACGACGGCGACTGCGACGACGACTATGGCTGCGACTACGAGTACGACTAGACAACTACGACGACCACCGCGACAACGACTTCGGCTCCGACAGCGACGACGACCACGTCCATGACTGGACTACTTCGGCTACGAGGACAACAACTAGGCCACTGCTAGCACAAGTACTACTTGGCTGCTAGGATGCTACTGCACCAAAACCTGCTCTCGCCCAGTAAAAGTTCTCCTGCTGCTGCTGCTACTGGAACTCTCATGGTGATGATGGTTTTGGCCACAAATGCTCATGCTTTTGATGATAATGTATCATGATGACGATGACAGGTTCCACTGTTGCGACTAGCCTCTTTGTAGTGAGTGTCACATTTCCAAGATTGCAATGCTCAGGGCGAAAGGCCTGACATTGATTCTGTCAGAACGACGCAGGCTTCTAGACATAGTAACAAAGCCGTGTCTTCATCAGAATATGCCACCCTCGGCAAGCGCGCACAATAAGTGCCTCAAAGCCCAAAGCCTTGAAGCTAGAGACCTAAACCCCTTATAACCTTAAGCCGCACAGCCTAAACCCTAAACCACAATCCTGTAAAAAGGGATCCTTATCCAGCCCTTGTATAGACGCCTAAACAATTACGAATAGTATTTCTTAGGGTTCCGTTCGACAGTTATACTTAAAAGGAGCCCCAAGCCCTTTTCTAATTAACAAGGCCCGTACATTAGCCTCCTCGAGGCCACGACCAGTGGTCGGCGCCACCTCCCGCCAAACGACGACAGGCGTCCACCGAGGGCAAGGGCCCAAAGAGGGTTTAGGAGTGTGGTTTAACATACAAGCCTAAATCCTAAACACTTACCAATTTTCTAGGGCTCCTTACCAAAAAAAGGGTTTATTCTAGTTATGAAGGCCCATACATCACCCCCTTTCGGTGGCATGGTATCCCTTAACAGGGTTTAGGAGTTCAGTTTAACATGAGATGTTTAAGACGTTAAGCTTTCAGGGGCTCGAGGGCTTTCAACCTTAAACCTACAAACCATGTTGGACCAGGGCGACGGGTTTAGGGTTTAGGGGCTTCAGTAGACGATAAAGTACGTGACAGAAGGAGGGCCTGCAAAAGGCAGGAACCCTTGTTTCGAGCAGGTTTAAAGATCAGAAGGATATCTGGAATAGTGGCTTTCGGGTACTGGGCTCCCCTATACCCTAAACTCCCTAGACCCGGTAACCTCTCAGGACTGGTCCGCGGCCAGGGAGAGGGTGTTGAGGATGTTCTATGGTTCTTCGTGCTAAGAGCGTCTCCAGAAGCCCCTTACTTCAGGGGCCTTAATAGTTACCTATACTATTTTTGGTGTTCCTCTAATATAATTAAGGTATAAAATTTCCCCAAGCCCTACTCTAATTATTACAGGGCCCTTATAGTACACCCCAAAGCCAAAAAAACAAAACCTAAATCCGGACCCATCAGGGACCAGAGAGGTGCAGAGGAGTCATGGATGCAGGTGGTTCTGGGTTCCTGATAATAAGAATCCTACGCTTGATGATATAAATCCTGCACTACCTTAAGGACCCATAACCTATGGGAATTATGGTATACTCCTTACCATGGGTAATGCAGGATTTATATCATCAACCGTACTGATTAGGGCCATAAGGGTACTGTAAAAGGTTCCCCTATTTTCGGAAACTTCCAGATAGTGTTTACTATTATAAGAACTGTCGGGTGGATCAGGTGGTTCGGTGAACAACACTGTGCAAAGTATATATCACGAAACGCTCAAACCCCAGCCCTCTCATAGAACCCGATATCAGAATATAGTAGGAACATGCAGCAACCCATGCAAAATCTATTTTCAACAAGTGGAGGAACCCTGTGCAATCCCACTCGCAAGATCACTTCGCAACTAACTAGATTGTAAGTACAAGCAGGGTGACTCTACTGACAACCTACTTACGAACTCTTTCAGGTTGCCCATAAACCCTGAATCCAAACCCAATGAAACCTTACAGAAACCCACGCAACGACCCGCACATGAACCGCTTTGTGCCACCACCCCAAGGCGTTGACACGGTAGCATCGGTGGGCGCAGCAGATGCGGGCTTCGACGAGGAGAGAAGCTGGGAACGAAACAAAAGGCCTTCATAACTCAAAAGGGTAGTTTAGAAGCCAGAACAATGGCTAGTAAGATTTTCTTCAGGGTTGCAATTCGATAATAGAAAACTCACAGCCCTCTTTGAATATGTAGTTCCCATACAGCCGCATTCAGGCCGGGCTGCTTGTGCGGCAAATGGCCTTGTGGCCTGCGGCACCTGTGCTGCCAACTGTGTGCCAACACAGGTGGACCAGAGTACAGCCGGGCACCGCTGTCACCTTCCACGCCAACGTGGTGTGCCACAGACAGCTGTGAAAGCAAGGGATGCCTCTGGCATTCGCACCTACGGCCAGTTGCTGTTCAGGGTGCCGATGCTGAACCATGTGGACTCAGCCAAGCCTAAGTCCTTGCTAGTGTCTATGGTGCCGAAAGCAAGCGATGCAGTCCCGTCAGCCGTGAATCGCTTGCTTTTTAACAGAAAGCGACTTTTGTAGTCTCCATGGTCAGTAGTCAAGGCATTGGGGCTGCGGACCGAAGTATTGAAGCTGGCTCCGAAAGCATTCAATGACCGTTCATGGTGCATAGGGTGCTGGTTTCAGCGACGACTTCGTATTTCGCCAAGCTCCATCCGAGGTGAACTGGGGTTTGACGCCAAACAGCACAGAATCACTTGCCCATGGGATGACAAGAACCATGGCAGCGGAGCCCTCCCGTAGGCTGTGCACCCCAAGAAGTAGAAAGGAAGCCCAGGGTTGCTGATGGGGGGGTGGGGATTTGGCATCAGGGTACCTGTACAAAAATAGCTTAAATCTGGTTCGATCTGCTTTACCAAAACAATTCGACGACGGACAGAGGTTCAGGGCTTTGGGGCTCAAGGTCTAGGGGTTTCTTAGGGGCGTTTATAAATAATTTTGAATTTTTGGTTATTATAATCCCTAAGAAACAGCTAAAATTATAAGTTTGCTAGGGTTCTAAGTTCAGTATAGTTTTGGGGGTTTCGAGTTTCGGGGTTTACAGCCGACCCTACGGGTGTCCATCTGCCCTTGGGGTAGGGGCCTGCATGATAGCACCTGTATGACTAGGTTGGATTTTGGGACATTTTGTATTTTCCTTATTTGGGTTTTTAAGGGACCCTATATATAAATATTTTTCAGGGTGTTTAAAGGCCAACCCAGATGATCTCTGGTAGAATTCCCCCCCCTCAAGTCTTGCCCACTTATTCAGGTCCCCAAGATATGCTTTGGGCTTCCTTATATGGATCCTTAACGGTACTTCGAGTCCTAAAGCGATTTTCAGGCCGTAAATACCTGAAACCCTCAACCTAAACTTCAGTTCTTCGATCGGCCCGACAAAACCGTCAACCTTTAACCCGGCTTATACCCAAACTCAGCACCCATCCCGCCCAAAAACCTTAACCCCAAAGCCTAACCCCGCATGTCTAAGCACTTGACCCCAGATCCGTGACCGGCGTCCATGCACACTAGACCCTAAGGCTCTTAACCCCTAAGCCCTGAAAATCCAAGTCCTTAACCATCCTAAACCCGTTTGCAGTAGCTTAGGCTTTCAGCTCTTCCAAAGCTTTTGGGACTGAGATGCTTCCCCCCCCCCGCCCGACCCCCCGCAACAGGGATTCTGTAAATCCTCAAGCCTTTACTCCCCGACTCCCTACTCCCAGTGTCTTAAATCTTGCAGCTTCTTTGTCTTTCAGTGAGGCCGAAACGAAAGACCCGAACGCACTGTTTGGAGAGAGTCGAAACCCGTAAACCTAAACCCAAAGCACACCTTGAAACAAGATCTAAGTCGAAGCCCAAAACCCACCTCTAGAAAAAGACACCGACACCCCAAACCCATAGTATCAGGAGTCGCTGTATAATTTCTATGCCGCTCAACAAGGCTTTGTGGCTTTTAAGGCCACCCCGTCGCAAACATGGAGTAGTGGATTTACGACTTTCGGGGCTTAGGGTTTGAAGGGTTTCACGACACCGATGTGGGACAACGTGTAATCCCTTTAACGGCAAAGAACTTTGGGGGGCTGTTGAAATCGGCACCTAATATGGTTCACAAAGGGTTGTCGTAAACTAACGGGTTCAATCACCCTAAATCCGAAACCACGACCCGTAATCGACGGCTTGAAGTTCGCCGCCAAGGTTCAGGGTTGTTGCTTTTAGATTGAGGGTCTTCGGCATAATGAAGGGGGTTGAAAATTCAGAATAGGGTATGGGGTTGGGGTTTCTTAAAGTAGAATATATTGAAATAAACAATTTAGTTCCATTGGCTACTAACGGGGCGACAGTTACTCGCTACCACCTATTCCGACCCCAATCATACGCGTAATGTGTTAAGAATTAAGTTGCGGTCAATGGTTCGTGGTTCGCTGCCGAGTTTCTCGGATATACAAGGCAGTTTTAGGATGAGAGCTGAGGATTGGTCTGCCAAAGAGCTCAAGAGCTTGTGCTGAGGGTGTATACGGCTCAGAGGCAACGCATGCAGCGCCCAGAGGATGAGTTCAGATGCATACATTGGGCGACATGGAGCCACTCTTAGTCAAGGTTTCGTTTCAGGTATGGGAGAAAGGCCTGGATGTACCACGGACCCCTAAACTCCCTGAGCCCTGAGCACAAAGACTCAATCCTAAGCCCAAACCCTCGACAATCAAATGAACACCGTCTTGAAGCCCCCTGTCCAAGTGAAGGCGCACGAAGCCCTAGACCCCCCAAAACCCTGAAGCCTAAACCCCTAAACTCTGCAGATCGAAAAGGAGCCCTTTAAAAACAAAACTAAACCCTAAACACCCTTTTCATTTCAAGTGACCAATTCTCTTTCGCCTCCTTCAGGCCAACTCAAAACTCCGCGGCGGTTTCGCCAAGTTCCAGTCGCCGGAGCTCGCGCAGCAGGTGTCCGACACCTTAATGATGAGAATGTGGCTTGGGGATATTATACAGGACCCATAGGCCCCAAAGTAGTTCTTTGTTGGGGTTCATATATAGAATCTAATAAGGTAATCCCAAAAATGAACTACTTTGGGGCCTATGGGTAATGGTTACAAAGGGATTGCAAGGGTTATTACTGTGACAGCGAAGTACCTATTCCTAACCCGTCCAGAAGCCTGAACTAAACGCCCCAATAGATCCGTCAAACCAACCCTTCCAGGGATACTGCTATCACATAGTAGGTTTTTTTGGGGTTTTCGTGTTTACCCATAGGCCCCAAAGTAGTTCCTTTTTGGGATTACCTTATAGGATGCTATATATGAAGAGGAACTACTTTGGGGCCTATGGGTAGGGTACCCCTGACTTTCAGGAACTTTTTGGCGGGTGTCGGAAGCCTTTGTGAACCCAGGAGCCTTCATAGGGCTCGAGGCCCTCCATGTTGATGATCACCGCCGCTAGTACTCTATGATTATGATTGTTCTATTGTTATTGATTGTAGTAGTAGTTGGTTTTGAAATTCTTCGTAGTATTCGCATCATTCTCAGTCATATTATACTTTTTCGTGTGTTTCTCGTATTTGGATCGTTACTGTGACTGCTATCACTGCTATCGCTAGTCTTATTTACTTTGTTCTCAGTCTTGATGTCTTAGTAAAATGATCATCATCAGCATCGTCATCATCATCATGATTTATTAGGTTTGCTATGACCGTCTTTGTTGCTGCTGCTGTTACATTATCCCCATGTTAGCTTATGTGTACTCTAGGATGCCCAGTAGTACCCTTATTCCTTTTTTGTAGTCCTAGGTTCCTCATAAAGTTACACAATACCATTACTGAGTATCCTAGTATTGGTAAGTCCTGGACCAGCCGTTGGATCCGGCAGCACAGCCGGCAGCTGCAGCAGCTCATGAACAAAGTGGGAGTTTCCGAAATTAGGGGTACCTTATTTTGGGGTCCTCATAATAAGGATCCTACTATTTAGGGTACTATATTAGAGTCCCCTATTTTCGGAAACTCCCAAAGCATGTTGTGAGCATCTGGTTAAGGGTCTAGGCCGGGTTCAGGGTTTAGGGTTCACGGTATCGTGGATGCAATCTGGGCCAGCATGTTGCTGGTGGTGCAGCAGAACAGCCACCTCGAGATGGGAGCCAACTACAGCAACCAGGAAGAGACCGGCAGCAACGTGTTCACGATGATGAACGTTCCGGACTCCGCCGGCACGTATGATGCTGGCGACATTGTACAACATTGCATGCTTGGGGTTCATGCTTTTTAGTGGTCATGTGCTCTTAACTTCTCACAAGCATAGCATGTCCATGCTTGAACCCAGGGAGATCGCCAACCCATGTGTCTTCAGTACTGTTATGTTTAAACTTCTGTTGATCAGTACGGACTGCAGGAGAACATACCCCCATGGAACATGAAGAGCCTCCATATTGGATTGAGCACAAGCCTTACTAAGACTGCTAAACGGATGCCTGAGACCTCTCCATACCAAAAAAGCCCTTAACCTTAAACCCCTGCACCGCAAAGCCTTGCACTCTCATAAAGCTCGAGAGACAGAGATACATACATATATGGCCACATATATATATATATATACATGTAATATTTATATTTATATATGTATATTTACATGTCCACATACGTACATACATACCCTCCACAGGCCAAGGCACCCTTGCCTAAAGCCTAGACCTCGAATCCGCCATCCTCGTGCACTAACCCAATTGAGCTCGAGGTTTCTTAAGGAAAGCATAATGTGCGCCCGGATGGTTTCTCAGGGTATGGATTTGCAGATATCAGCGGCTAAGTTGCTTTGGGCTTATGTGTAATTGGGGCGGTTGAAATATGTTAGGATTCCCAAATTGAGTTACTGTTCGGCTTGAGTAAGGTCATCGGCTGTGGCTGGCATGCTGCAGACAGATATCAAGATGTTTTGTATTGCGGACCAGCAGCCTACACAGTGAGCTACTTCTCCTAGAGCCCTATCCAGCTCATAGCACCGACCATTAAATCCTATAAGCCCTAACCGAAACCGTCGAAACCCGAAGGTCTGCATAGCTGACGGGGTTCTGGAAGATAGTCCACGCAAGCTTCGAGTGAATGGGAAAGACAAGCCCTAAACCCGAAGTTGTAACCCATGAACCATAAACCCTAAAGCGTAATCCACCCACCCTAAAAGCCCTAAAACCTCAAGCCATAAATCCAAATTTGCCATGAATCCTAAACCCTCAACTATAAACCCTAAACCTTAAACCATTGCTGCGAAAGGCCGTTGAGGTAGCTACTGCCGAGGGCATCCCGGCGGCCATGGCCAGGAGAGATGCCTGTAGAGTTTAGGGTTTAGGGGTTTAGGGTTTAGGAGTTTAGTAGTTTAGGGTTTAGGGGTTTTGGGTTTAGGAGTTTAGGGTTTAGGGGTTTAGGGTTTAGGAGTTTAGTAGTTTAGGGTTTAGGGGTTTTGGGTTTAGGGTTTAGGGGGCTTAGGGTTTAGGGTTTAGGGGGCTTAGGGGTTTAGGGCTTAGGGTTTAGGAGGTTTAGGGGGTTCAGGGGGTTTAGGGGTTTAGGGGTTTAGGGTTTAGGGGGTTTAGGGTCTAGGGTTGCTCCATCTCCTCCTACTACTGCTATCGTAGTATATAAGCCTAAATAATTACCAAGATTATTTCTTCTGGTTCGTTGTCATATTTATACTATAAACGGGCCCAAAACCCTATTCTAATGATTATGGCCCCTACTGTACATTACATGATGGCATTTTTTCTGTTGATTACTACTCCTCCTCTCGCTTCTACTGCGAGTGTGAGACCATGGCTACGGCTGCAGCTGCGTGCTTCATACTGAATACTTCTAGCCGTAAAGGCAATCGTCAAGCCAGGACACCACTGTAGTTTCTAATTTGTAGTGTGTCGCCATTGATCTAGTTCGGTCTTTAGTTCGGTTGGCGTGCCCAGTGGTTGGGATAACAACGAGTGTAACAGTGGTTTTTGCAGGGTTGGTCCTTTGGGTCCCGTAAGGGTGCTTGACAAGGTCTCGGGCTTAAGAGTTCAAGTGTTTAGAGTTTAGGGTCTGTGGTTTAGGGATCAGATTTGATTCGGGCTTTAGGGTATAGAGTTCGGCTTAGGGAGTCCAGTCCCCGGATCAGACGACTTATGACGTACCTACGGCTGATGGACAAAATCCTGCATTACCCATTAAATGGAATATACCATAGTTCCCATAATTTAGAGTCCTTAGGGTCATGCAGGATTTTGTCCATCAGCAGTATGACCAACGGGTCCGGGGTGCTCCGTCACCTGCGTTGCGAGGACCCAAAGCGGCGCAGAGCCCTCGAAATCGTATTGGAGTTTCCGAACATAGGGGACCCCAATAGAGTACCCTAAATAGTAAGATAGTAGGATCCTTATGATAAGGACCCCAGAATAAGGTACCCCTGATTTTTGGAAACTTCCATATCTTCAAAGTTGCATAACCGAATGCCCTGTTGCCCCATTCTTTAAGGCCCCTGAGCAGCAACGAGCCCGCAGCAGGGCCCACTGTCACCCAACTTTCCTCCCAACTACTTACGGGTGGTTATCAAAATGATGGTCCCTTTTTGGGTCCTTATTATAATACGGCACCTAATATTTAGGGTACCCAGAAAGGGGGCATAATTTTGATAACCACCCATACGAAGAACGTCGTCGAAATACCTCAACCCGAGCATTCAGACTCCTTAGGACCGGTGCTACATGGTTATACCTTAGAAGCTGCCCCCACCCTGCAGTAGTGGTATAATAGGAATATAATGGGGCCCTAATATAATCCTTATAGCAGCCTTATAGTCACTATTACAGGGTGGGGGCAGCTTCTAAGTTATACCGACCGGGTGACTGAAAACATGATTTGTTACACCGGCTCTATGGGGCTTCGAGCAAAGGGAACTCCAGAAAGTTGGAGTATAGATTAATGGTAGGGTCCCCTAAAATTTACCTCAAAGGGGTCACGATCATGATATTCCAACTTTCTGGCTTCTACTGTAGCCCCCAAACTCTATGATAGAGCCATCGGGCCGAAAAAAAAAGCTGCGCAGCCTTACATCCTCAAAACCAAGCCTAGTAGTAGAGCAGGTAACCTTGAACCTCTTTTAGGTAGTATAGTCCCTATAGAACCCCTGTATAACCAAAAAGGTTAACCTTTAGTTCCCCATGATACCCGACAAGTAGGCAAAAAAGCTCTGAGGTTTAGGTCTTGGGGTCGGGGCCTACAGCCCTAACCTTAAGCCCCAAACCCTATCCCTGAGCTCAACGACTCTTAGAGTGTCCAATCCAGAAATCCCCAATTGAAGAACCTTCAATCAAAACCCTCCAAGTATGGATTAGAACAGGTTTGGGGGGGCATACTAAATATACGGTAATATGCGATGATCATCTAGGGATTATAGAGGGGGCTGAAAAAAACAACAGTGGATTTTACAACAGCCCTAAACCGAGTCCGGTCGTGCCAGGACAAGCATGCAGTCATCGTAGCAGGCGGGGGGTGCTCAGACGTCGGGAGTTTCCGGTGGTAGATAAACAAGCCGGAACAGCCAGTAACGCACCCAAAGATCGTATTCTCATTCAGGCCTGATATTGTGCGGGCTACTTACGGGGCGAGGGTACTGACAATCTTTTCCGAGGAGTGTGGGGGTGGTTTCAGTCTTTTGTGGTTCCAGGGCTTCAGGGGATAGGGAGCTCAGGTTTTAGGGTGTCGGTTTTTGTGTTTTGGTTGCAGCTTCCGCTTAACATTAAGTAGCGCTTGGTTGCGTTGGTGAGCATGCAGCGGGGATCTTCTTGGGAACTCAGATCTATGATGCTTCGGTGTGTGTCAGGGTTTAGGGTGTGGCTTCGTATGCAATGCTTAAAGATACCCCTCTAGACATAATCTGATTCTCCAGGCTGCAGCATCAAGCACTTTGCCTCCAAGTCTTTGTGAGTGTCCCATAAAAAACTTTTACAAGCAGTTTGTAAGTAGAATGATAAGTGCCTCGGTTTTCCGCGGTCGAGGTACCTTAACCCCACGTAACCTACCTTTTTAAGGACTTATATAAAGAAATCATATTAAGGAGCCCTAAAAAGGTAGGTTCCTTAGGGTCCAGGTATGTAACACTGGTTTTGTGCAGCCAGCTACACACACAAAAAGAGACCGAGGAGTGGGTTCCCATGGTGTTGGTTCCGAAGGGGACTAGGACCCCCCAACGGCCCTTTAATGGAGCCCTTATGGTCCTTATTAGCGGGTCCTGGGTATTTAGGGTATAATAGAGGGTAGTCGGGAGTCTAGGGAGTTCCCTGCGCCCACATTCGCTCTCGTCGCCTTGAGTCGTGAGAGAATTGGCTCGGGCATTCTGGAAGTTGCGGGCATACCTTATATGGTCGTCGTCGACGAAAGCATTGACATTACAAGCCCCCTGACCCTTTCAGTAGAAGCTCTGTTGTTGTTTGCACAAGGCCTGTCTTTGTCCATGTTGAAGTTTCGGTTTTCTGCTGCATCTGATGACGAGGTCCCCCAACAGGACCCTTTTGTCCTTGCTAACTGTTGGATTTCCTTGCTAAAACCGAATCATGGGCGCAAGGGTGCCATTTCAATTGCGGGACACCGGGAAATCGAGAAGCTAACTTGTATTTATCGACCCCTGCACTAGGACGGGTTGGCTTTCAGAAGGGTAAGCGGGAAAGCACTCAGCCCTAAATCGTAAGCCACTAAACTCATATAACCTGTGGGAGTCCTAATTAGCAGCCAAGAGGCGTAGGAAGGTTTGCCACAAATCCGACACAAAGTCTTCCGAGCGACGAGGTATTTCCTCAAACAGCTTCGGCAAAAGCTGTCGCCTTCACTGCCGGGATGGCATCGGGCAAGAAAAGACTTACCCTAAGGGTCCATGTTAGTATATACATTGGCCTTAATGTAGTCCCTATTTGGGTACTTTGGGGCCCATGTATCTCTATATGGGTACATGGACCCTTAGGGTTAGGCAGTTCTCCAATTTTGAGTCCCTGTTTGGGTTGCCCAACTAGGATGCTGCACAACGACCCCCAAGGCTCCACGTGCCTATAGGGCCTATGGTATTCCTAACGATGACAGTTGATGCGAAAACACCAATAGCAAAGCTGGCAGAAAGAACCCTTATCATGGATCATCATGGCAATAGCGGCCGAAGCCAGGGCCGAAGCAGCAGCAATGGGTAAACTTGAGCGTGATTGCTGTACGTATGACTACCCAGAACCACAGGAAGCTTGGCATCCGCAGGAAACTCTAAGCTTAGATCTGCAACCCCGTCTTTTGCCCAACAACACCCAACCCTGAAAACTACTTTCTCCCATTCCTCGGCGTCTCGTGATCGGAGCCCATTCCATGCCAGAGCAACCTGTGAACATGAGCATGACAGCATGACTGCTTTACTTCAAGGCTTGTTGTCTTCCTTTCCCATGGTCCGTACTATGATATACAAACGAACCCTCCTCTGATTCTTTACTGAAGGGATATCAGGATTTTGGGCTTTTCGTTACATCTTCGGCCTCTTCCCATTGCGGGCGTGCAAATCTCCGCGCGATGCAGTCGTTTAGTCACCATGATGCCATGCTCGAGACTCAGCCGTTCGAGTATGAGGGCGTTAACAATTGGAAAAGGGCTTGTGGGTACTTGGAGGGTCGCGGGACTTAGTAAGTAGGTAGTAAGTAGACTTATAAGTACCCTAAAAAGGACTCTAATTGGGGTTATGGTACTTATAAGTCCCGAAAATAACCCGTTACTAGGTTCCCGATCCTCCAAGTACATGATACTTTCTTTACGAGGACGAGCCTTCAGGACTGTAATCTCACTGATGATTGAGGCTTCTACAGGGTTTTATGCATGTGTTGTAGTCTTTCTGTAGGGTTTTCCGGTTTTCGAGCTTTGGGAGTTTAGTGTTTAGGATCCAATATTCTCAGGGTTGAGGGTTTAGGGGTCTGCAGAAATCGGCTTCTTTCAATTATTGCAAACGGCGGAAGATCTTTCTTCTTGCTGCGGCTGAGGCTTTTTTCCTTTTGAGAAAGTGCAGGGAACAGGGGTGTCTAGAACACCCGGGACGGACGGTTTGGGCACTGTTTGAATCTGACAAACTCGGTGTAATTAATGCCTTGTGTTTCGACAGAGTTCAGGAGGCTTCAGAGATGTTGCTCAGGGCTTGAAGGAGTTGCTCAGGGCTTGAAGGAGTTGATTCGCGCGGGGTGTTGGCACTGAAGCAAAAAGTATTCCCCAGAATACAGCTAAGTCTACGAAGGACCTACAGAACTACCCTGAAGTACAGCTAAGTCTACGAATAACCCATAGACTCTGCGGATCTTGGCCCAGGGAACCTAAGGCAGATCCAGTGTGTTTTGTGGCTTCAAGTTTCCGGTTAGTCTCGGCCTCAAGCCCGGAAGCCTGAGAAGCCTCACGTAGTCTAGGATGCCCAGTAGTACCCTTATTCCCGTTTTGTAGTCCTAGGTTCCTTATAAAGTTACCCAATACCAAAAAGAGAGGCCTTTTTATTCTTAGGTTACTGGGTATCCTAGTAGTGGTCCCAATCAGTGGAGACCTCATGCCTAGGAGCTCCTGGTTATCATTACGGTTGATTACATAAATCCTGCATACCCGAAGGACCCTAAACTATGGTAGTTATGGCATATTCCTTCTTCTGGGTATTGCAGGATTTATATCATCAACCGTATGGTATATTACAGTATTCCCTAAGGGTCCATGTACTCATATAGTATACACATTGGCCTTAATGTAGTCCCTATATAGGTACTTAGGGGCTCATGTATCTCTATATGGGTACATGGACCCTTAGGGAAAGATGTTCCGCAACACCCTATTCCAAATATTTGGGCGCCTGTATTCATTCCTCGCCCCATTAAGCTTCTCAGTAAGGCTTCAGCACAGGAGGACAAAGACTGCTTAAGGGTTTAATTATGGTTTTGGGATCCAATCTGTAGTTGTCTCGCTCCGAGTTCCGCAAAGGAGCTGTCAGGCTTCCAAATATCTCTGCCATTAAGACTCTCGATCAAACTAGTCTTTGTTACGTGTGACCTCACCATCTGTTCCTCATCGTTCAGGGCCATGAGAGTAGGGACCACTAAAGGAACCTGGTCAATCCCAAAAGTCAACTCTGGACCCCGTGCGCTCCCAACTCCTCCGAAACGAAAGCCAGGTATCGATTTGGGGATAAGTTTAGGTTTAGGATTCCCTTGTCGAATATTGACCTTCATTTATAAAGCATATTTGGGGACTGATGGAATCGACACCTCGCAAGGCTCTACACGGAGCCCTTTCGAAGATCTTGGAGCACGCCCATCATCAAGCCGGATCCTGGAGATTCATGTGGTCAGGGGGTGCAGCATTTTATGCGTGTCTTCTGGAGTTGCTCTGAGTTCTTAAGCTGTGCCCTTGGCAGTGTGTTGCGTTGATGGGTTTCTCGGGTTGTGTGACGGGTTTACAGTTACAGGATGCCTTGCCTATTTAAGTGCGTGGCAAGTCCCACCCCCCCCAGCCCGCCACCCTAGGATAATTTGTCTTACGATCTCGACCCCAAGACTAGGATATCCACCGCAAGATCCCAACCGAAGTTACCATCCTAGGAACAATGCTTACAACTACCGGAATGCCATATTTCTAAGCAGGCAAGGGCATCCTTGCAGACGTGGGCTCAGAGCTTGGGGTTATGTAAGGGTTAGGCATTCGTTTTAGCTCTTGGATTCTAGCATAGTGTTGTAACTACAATGAACATGTATTAACCAACTGCTTGTCGATTCTAAGTTCATTATGGTCACGTAGCTACATGTTTCAGACGCAGTGGTTTGGTTTTTCTTAGACTATATAGATGTCACTACTCTACCTGTGTTAACCGCTAAGTATCTGAGCATTCAAAACAAGTCAAGGTGAGCTTAATGTAACAATAACCCTAGGGATCAAAATAGCATCAAACCCTTATATAGTATGGTCTTCGGGCCCCAAAAGCCTTAACATATGAGTCCTTAGATCCCTAGGGTAAAGACTGTCTAGCAATGCAGTATGATGAAGTGAAATGTCAAACCTCGTTAACTTGCTTACAGCGAGAGCATTTCCTAGTATGTAATACTAGTATCACTATATAGTTAACACTCGACGGATATCTCGTCTACTGTTACTCGTATTAGCACTCTTGACATCATTACTGTTGAGATCATTATAAGAATTCTTAGTAGTATTAGTACCAGTACTGTTAGTTGTGTTGTTGTCATCACTACCAGTAGCATATTAGTACTAGTATTCGGTTTAGTATTCGTATTCCTTTTAGCATTAGTATTCCTATTGTCATTTTGTCAGTGTTGTTATCATTATTTCAGTAGTATTAATATTCATATATTGTTATGGTATACAGTTAACAGATGTTGCATTATTGAAAACTCTCCTGTTCTTAGTGCGAAGTGAAATCATGCAAACGCTCAGGTTCCTCAAACTTTAACGAAGCGAATTCTGAATTGAACTTGCT